ATCGTCTTATACAGGCATCATCACGCTCAGTAACTAATTTTCTCTAGTGGTTGCAGTAATAGTGGTATGTTGTGATATGTTGTAGGTGGCGATAATGGTAGTAACAATAAACAATGTACAATGTTATTAGCTTCCGAACGAATGATCGTGGATACGAATCTTAGGATTGAAGCGAGTTTAAATAATAGATCTATGTGCAACGAAAAATTAGTTACTGAGCGTGATGATGCCTGTATAAGACGATGCGGTGCAAAACTTTTACGGTAGTGACACCCTTTAAACGACGTCTCTACCGCGGATAAAACTTATGGTATATTCATAGAACTGAGATAAAACAAATGACAATGTGCTTCCAAGAAAGGTAGGTTCAATGATGATAGTGGTGTGGGAAAATTTCTCTTAAATGACTCACTGGCAATCGTTAGCATGCGCTTATGTCATCTGGTAGAGTTTAACCATTTGCGGTATTACAATGCCGACAAATTAAAATGTCACTGTATGCTTATCTATAAGACTTGGATAATCTATTCACTCATAACATCAAGCAAACAACTTATCATTGGTCAATAAACTCTTAAAAGTCTTCCTTTCTTGATTCATATCATCCTATTGCTTATAAAGCAAGTCTCATCTGCGCTGTGCTACGCATAATTTAACAACGAACTATTCTAAGGCTGCGGCAGCTGCGACACGCGACAAATTGTTAACCCTGTAACCAAGGACACAGTACACTACAATTAAAAGACGTGTTTCGCGTGCATATTAATATTATTTAATACTGAGAATAAAGGAATGTAGACGTATTCGTACTCCATGCTGCTATTACGATCGTTATTATTAGGTAAGCTAGCCATACGAAGACTGATGTAAATAGAGGACAAAATACTCTTCCTAACATCGCCTCCAAATAAAGATACTTCTTGAACCAAGAGAAGAAAAAAAGCCAAGACTATGCTATGCCATATGATAGAGCAATTTCTGATTTACAGTCTGTTCATAGTAGTGTAATTCTAAACACGTATGTTTTGTAGTGGTGAAAATTGTTTATTTGCATCGTCTGAAGATCCTCAGGAAGAATGTCGTAGTATCAGAGAAGGGTTAGGGTTAGGGTGGTGCGTACCGACGCGCGGATAATTGATAGAAAACCTAGAAAATTTGCCGTTTTTTTGGAGGGGGATTAATAAACCATAATTTTTTTTTCACCCATTTCATTAAAAGAGATCGTTGAGAAAAAAGATTGAGGTCTCTTCTCAAATTACATAATTTAAGGCTTGATATGATTTAGTCAGTAAGGTCTTCTGACAGCGAAGTTAGCGGACCACCAACATTCACATTACTTTGATGACAAGATCAAGATTTGCTGCTAAAAGTTATCTTTAAATAGAATCGTCAGGAGGTATGGCGGGGGCTAGTGCAAGTTTGAGTCTGTTGCAGTTGTATGATCTCCAAATCTATAGTAAGTATTGATAGCATTAAAGAACACAACATATGAGCTGGCTCACAAATATCTCTTCAACTTTTGCAGAGCATGAAGTAATTATGTATGGACTTCAGTACCATTTCGCGGGCTATATCGTGAATGAGACTGCCGACAACAGAAATTGAGTCAGGAATGATATTGCGATGCATATCATTATTGTTTACGTTCAAAGTCAGTGTCCGTATTAATTTGTTGGTATTTTTTGCGGGAAATATCGTGCAATGTTTCCGGAATTAATTGTACAGAGTGCGGATAAGTTGAAGGCTTATATTCATGAAGATACCAATGGGAACATATTTCAATCCATCACTCATACCGTTCCTTCACCCGTAATGAGCTGCGCCAATAAAAAAGAATGAAACCTCGTCTTCGCTTCTTGTTGTGGTTAGAATAAGGAGCAAAACCGTTGCTATGTAGCAGTTTATTCCAGTATACAGTACACTATCCACTGGCATTAAAGATTTGCAGACGATGATGTCTAACATATATGAATTTGGCACTCGAATGATCCTGTTGAATAACAAGTTACCGAGTCCGAGGGTTTCAAACGTGAGAATTAACCGTTTAGATTTTGCATTACACACGCAGCCTATGCTTTGATGGGGAAGGCACATGTGGTTTATACTTTATTATGATTATCATTATGGCACGATCCCTCTTTGTGGATAAACATTATGATACTGTTCTATTGCGAAAATTACAAAACACTGACCATCCACTCTGTTGTGATTGAGGTGAGCACAAAGTGCATTATAAAAATAAATTTATCGAGCGCATCTATAGAGTTAATAAGGAGCGGATCCTACTTCTTTACCATCTCCTTGTACCTCACCCACGAATACATTCCCGAACCAAAGAGCGCAAGGATGATACCGATGCCGTTCTATAAAAACGTGACGAGTCAGACTCATGTAATAAAAATCATTATAATATGAGTCACATTTGTTACTTACCAATACACTGATTGGATTAGCAAAGTACCATGCAGCAAGCGCGGTCTGGACACAGCTCTTGGCGGTGCCCGAAATGTTGTTGGTTAAAGGAGTCGTGTATTTAATTTGAAGGAATATGGCGATATTGATCACAAAGCCTGTGATGCCTGTGAGAACCATTAATATCCAGAATGCAGGTTCGTCGAAGAAGTAGACATTTGCAAACATATCCTGAAGTTCCCCGGCCAGAACAACAAGAGGGAAGAGGAAAGCGATTGATAGGGTAGTGTTATAGTGAAGAAGTCGCCTAGAAAAGAGGAGATCAAGGAAAATGTTGAGCTTATAAGCACGTATTGCCAGATTAATATAACTGCACGGAAACAATATGATAATCGTTTGATTACTTACCATTGATTATTACCGACAACGACAAGAGTCTTTTTGACATAAATTCCATATAATGCAACAAATGCACTGGAAGCTACGCCGTAAATAACGCCTTCCCAAGTAAAATTGAGTTCACCGTACGAGCCGATGACGAAACCAGAAAATACAATCGCACATGCACACAATGCAGCGACTGAAGTTTTGGCACCGAGAAGGGTGTAAGTGAAGATGATGTTGAAAACAATAGTGAGAGAGCGAGCAACCTATGTTGAATAGAGTGATGTAATAGAAACGCGCACAATCATTAATTGATTAGACGGTTCATTCTTATGTGTGAGTTAATGCACGATATGGCTATTGAGCAATTACCTGGTAAAATGTCACTTCCACATATTGTAAGCACAAGTTGTTAAATGCCAACATGAGGACATAGATAAAGCTCAGTGGCATAACTTTGCGCGCTATTGCTAAATCCAACTCGTGTGGTGGAATAAGAGAGAAAGCCTTGAATCTAGAAAATAAAAAGCGCCGTCAGACCTCATAAATGTGTAGCGTATGTATGTACAGTAAGATGCACAGAACGCATCTGTCACAATCATCAAAGTTACGTTTCTGTTATTTAAAAAATCTCAACAAGACATTTCACTTTTGTTTTGCAAACTTTCCCTCATCTATATACTGTATCTTATTACGTTCTACCACATATAACGAATATCACCGTCCAACACCTATTGTATTTGTTACCTTGTGCCAAGACCTCCCCATACGAGCAATATAAGCAATGCAATAACCAGTTGGAACCAAGTAACGAACAACGGATAGGGAAACTTGTATTCCGATGTGCTTAGTATGAATTTGTTTAAAAATACTAGCGCGAGCGATGCGGCCCAATAGAAAGCAACTACACCCAATATCACCAATGCAGAGTGTTGTTTCTGAGCTTTAGCATAGGCGGAGGCAGACGCAGATGCCGGAGGAGGGAGAAATGGCTTCTCATCTTGCTTCTCATCGGGGGATACCATACTTACTGCTCTTTCTGTGTTAATAATGTATCGAAGGGGGGACAAACGGGAGAGGCAGAAAAGGAGGGAAAGAAAGTTTAAGAAAAAAAAACCTACTAAAATAAATATGAATATATAAAGTCTTTAAGAAACTCAAACTAAAAGTCCTCAGAAAGCATGATTGGAGCAAAGGACAATATACCTGGAAAGAGTTATTGCCGGCACTTTGCAATCAAGGCTTTGTATAATTATAGAAAGCGATTGTCACACACAAAGTATTAATAGAATTACAGATATATTACAATGACAACTGATAACGGTTAATGGGATATTTAATTGGCAATCAATATCGAAAGCGGTGACACCAAAAATTGCAAACACTGACACTAGTGCGCGACAAGCAACTTGATCGTTCGGCATACTGGTCACATAGCAATCAAATTCAAATTCTCATCAAAAGACTTGGTGTGTGCAAAGCATTTATTAGAATATTATATGATATTAATGAATACAGGATATATAACAAATAAATGTCCCTTGATGAGTTTTCCTGGTTGATTCTACAATGAAAGGGCAATAATACGAATTACAAAAAGCAGAGAACATGGAGATGCAAGGACGTTATGTCAATCACTTTTGGGTTTGGTTGTTCTTTGGATATTCAGGACTCTTTGGATTTTCAGGACTGTATGAATATTCGTAAATGTTAGTATTAACAAACGATACGCTTTAAAACCCAACACAAGTGAAAGATCCTTTGACTTACGAGTTCTTCCAGCGCTCTGCCACTAATTTGAATGCTGCTTTATGATCCAAGTCTGGATTATCAGCTTTGACTTTGGGAAGTTCGCTTTTTACGTATTTGTTATAAGGCGAGAGTTTCTTGGTAGCTAAAGACAAAAAAGCAAAGGAAAGCAAAACGAAAAATCAGTAACGTAAACAAAGATTTCGCTCATTGTAAAGTTAGTTAATGACATACTGGCACTCTTGCGGGTAGTCTTTTCTCTGGCCATTTCGATTATTAATCAATGAATTTGTGTGTCTTTTGTATGATTCGTCTGAGAGGAATAACAGTCGTTCTCGACGTTGATACTCTTTCTGTGTGGTGAGTCGGCTATGCTCCTCCAGATGCTCTTTATATAATCATAACTGACGCGATAGACATGACGCGACACAAACATCGCGTTTTGTTGACAGAAGGCTTCTGTTTGTGGATTATGTCTCGTGTATGATTACATACGATGCAGCAAAATGTAACACGATGTACTGTTATGTTGCTTCGTTCTTGTTGGTGTTGTTGTTGTGTTGTTATTTGTTGTTGTTTGTTGTCATCAGTCTTGTTTGTTGTTGCTAGAATACTCCATGGCGCGTGACAGTCACTCGCACATGCGTAATTGGTGGTGGTCATTCGTTGTTAAGTCATGCTCGCAGTATGTCCTGGGTATTGCTCAAACCACTTTTACGGGAATAAAGCTCAATTGAGAAGCCATAAGAACCAGTCACATAATGAAAAAGAGCTCGTTGACTGTTTTGTCGAGTATTTATAACTGATATCAGAGTCCTTATAGTGTCTGTCGTATGTACTTGTCTTGCGAGTCGGTTACGGATCGTCCAATCATAGATCGTCATTCACGTAGATAAAAAATTTTTTTGTCGATCAATCTGCATGTCTTCAGACGCAAGGAAGATTGCAGCGCGGGCACCTGTCACGATCAATCATTCATGGTTAGATTGCATCACAGAATATGCGGAAAGCCATCCCACCGCTCGACTGCATCCGAGTATCGAAATCATTCGCGCTTTTATCAATGACATTGAAGCTACATGGGAGAAACAGTGTGAATATTTAAAGAAAATCGGTAAAAACTTGGTCATAATCAAATGTTTAAATTGACATTCGGATGGTATTTTTTTCTCACATCTGTAATTTGTAACAGAGAAATCTCTCCCATCTATCAAGCGTCAAAGCAAAAGTAGTGGCCATAGATCAGATCAATTGCATGTCGATCTCACTCCAGAACATAAAGAGCAGCTCGTTATCGTAGAAAATGTAATATCTAAAATATACTTTACGACTACTGAAACGCTGATTAAACGGCATTGTATCCCAATATTGGATGCATGTTATCGTATTGTGCTGGATTCAGACTCTCGCAGTCATCTAACATTCGCTCAGCAGTATGATAAATACATTACCCATACTCAGTACACTGATCACTGCCTATGGCAAAAGGCGTTTTCAATATACTTGACACTGGACTTTTCAATTGGATTTGATACAGTTCGATCAGCCATATGGGAAACTATTCACTTTCTCACCAATTGTTTGACTACGTCAGTCGAACAGGTACAGAACATTAACGCACGTAATACGAAAGATAGCATAAGAGATAGCGCGTCGTCCTCGATGGAGTTGGCATTGTTGATGGATGATGTGCAATATGTTATCAAGACGTTGTTGGCTCTCCTTTCAAAGTTTGAAGAAAATATACGACCATCGTTTGAAGTGCTTGAAAGACATGTTGAAGAAGACGGAGGCGATGATGATGATAAAGACAATCATTGCAATAAACTACCAAACATCAAAGGGATATTGACATTGACACGCAATCTAATGAACGCGTGCTTAGAAATATGTGCTAATGATATCTATATCAAAGACCTAAGTCAATTGGCGGGGATGACTTTTGCCGCATGCTTCCAATTGACAGGAACCGCTTCTTTTATAAGCACGCAAATATTCTTGACATTCTTTATTCATAACCGTTCTGCCGATACTACTGCTTCGCTTTTGGTAACCAGATTGCAAGTTAACATGCCAGAGTGTCTACAATCCGACAGCGGGTGGACAAACGACAATACACCAATGCTATTCATCTGCCGTGGGTTGTTATCTAATGTAGGATATGATGTACTGACGGCGCATTTAGTAAATGCCGCGAATACCGATGTCAGAGTGTTAAAGACAGACGTCGAGAACCATGTACCAGCGTCACTTTATCATCTGTTATTTATAAGTGTCGCCTACTTTTGTGAAGCCCAAATATCACCACAAGTTAAGCTAATTGCGTTCGAGACCATGGGACTATGGTTGACCGAGACACAGAGTATACTTAAATGTCAAGAGAACACAAACAAGAAAATAACAATCAAACCAAACGCAGCTAAAAAGGGTGCTAGAACTCTCAATACCTCATCCAATCCTGTTCACGCGTGTTTCGTCACTCTGACGGCTGAAACCATCGAATCTCTATTAACACCTACGATTATCTCTGTATTAATATCTTACGTCTACAACTACTGGGACGATCCTATCGACGCCATCCAACACAAAGTTAGATTTATCTTTCATAGTCTTCTCAATGTTCTCCAACTGAAGGCCGCGCTTTGCTCCACAGTATCCGAACACGCTTTATTTCTCCAACATCTGATGAAGCAACTCCTCGAATTTGATAAATATCGCAAGGTCAAATACTCACTCATGTCAATGTTGATTCCGAGAATAGGAGCGGATGTTGTATTAGGAATGAAAAAAGATGTAATATGTGATTGTATCGAAGTAATGGACAATTTAGTTATTGCGTCGAAGGCTTGTGAGGCTGTGAAGGTTTTGTTGGACGCGAAAATGAAAGAGGTTACGGACCAGCGTAACGCCGGAAACGAGGTTGTCAAGTCATGATTTTGATGCTTAATGCATATGTTACGTCAATCAAATTTCTGATATTTAATTGAATTTTTCATTTAAAGAATACGACTGCCGGTGGATGGATTGATCTGTGGTTGGAGCCAGTATGTCGTGCACTTTCATCAGATAATGCCAAACGCCGCAAGAACATTGATAATCTCCTTCTACCTTACTTACTAAAAGCAACACCCGAAGCATTTTGGACATTGATTTCAGTATTCCAGTCTGACTCCAACAAGAGCTTTGTCACCAAAGACGAGTATCGACTCCACGCTCTAATTACTACTATCAAAGTAGGCCGCTCGCTTGACCTTATCGACGGAGAATCGCTTGTCAGTGGCTTCCCTGCTAATAAAGAAAACAATCGTTTGATTCACACACAATTCTTGTATGATTCTATGTATCATCCCGACAAAATGTTACGTGTTGACGCGTTGGGTTTGATATGTGAATCGCACAAGCGAACCAGCAGCATCAATTCTATCGAGATATCTTTATTAAAAGAGTTTATTTCTCTCAATTTGAATTCGACTTTACCAGAATTCAGGCAACGATTATTAGCGCATTTTACTAAATTATTTAGTCGATTGCACGGTAATCTATATGGTCAATGGAGAGAATACCTGGGCAAGAAAAAGGCGTACGGAGATGTAGAAGCGGTAATAAAGATTAAACGACGAGTGGACGAAATAGAACATTTTCTGAGATGGCTTATCCATTTACTGGTTCAACAACTTTACCCTGGAGCGTCGTATCAACGGGTATCGACATCATTAAAATTACTTCATCTTTTAATCAAACATTTTGGAATAGATTCGACGCCACCACCTGCGGGATACACTGTCAAGCATGGAAAGTTGCCCGAGTTTCCCTTTCGACTTCCATTTGCCACTCCGCAACTAAGTCTGACTTTGTTTGATCTGTTGATGAATTCATACGTTCCAAATAGACAAGAAGCGTATGACGTGTTGCGTATTTTTCCGGCACCACTACCGGGCATCGAGAGTAAAGAGAAAGCTCAGAATGTGCTGGATTGGGCATTCACAAAGTTAAAAAGTGGACGCGCAGCAGAGAGTGATGGTGGCGCTATGGTGTTTCGTATTGTGTTTGTTAAGTATGTGGTTGAGTTGGGTTTTGAACTGGAGGTCGATAACGACATGTCTGGAGTTGAGACTGTAGAAATGACAGGAGTACCGAGCGGTTAGTAGGAAAGAGTTGAGTAAGAATTAGTGCAAAAAAAGTAACTGATATTATTATATACATTATAGTCGTGTCAGATTCACAGATTTTTACACTCTAATTATACTAAGCCTGTTAATTTTAATTTTATTTTTTTTAGTCGATTTTACGAATAAACTCTTAAACTTTCTTCACAGTCAGATTACTTTTGCATCCAGCAACCTTCTTCTTGCGTCAAGGAAACATCCAATTCAAGGAACTCTTCTTGCTCTCCAATACATATTCCAAGAGCTTTCATACTCTTCACCAATCATCAAGTCTCATATCAGCCACTGGCGCCAAATACATAAATTTACGTTGAAACTAATCAGAGATATCTGTGATGTTGTAATAGACGTTCTCTCAGCCGCTGCTCCCGAAGGTAATATACTTATGGAAGATGATGAGATTGATATCGACGTGAGAGTGGTGACCGATGAGGACGAGGATTGTCAAGATGATGGTCAAGAGGATAGTCCCAAGCACCAAGTTCTTTTAAGCTATTGTTGGAGGGCTGTTAAAGAGGCAAGGTGAATAAATGGTTTGACCTGCAAGTTTTAGGCTTTTGATATATTGATAGAACCAACCAAATGTCTATTCGACAGTTCATTACTAGGCATTATTCTGTCACGTACTCCTACTACAATGAATGGCATCAGTGATGAAGTATGTATAGAATTGTTCGATCGCTACGTGCATGACTTTGATTAACAATCATTACTTATTGACGAACTGCAGTTTTCAATAATTACCTATGAAGATTTCATCTCCTCTGGCGATTTGATTCGTAATCTGTTGACTAGTATTCGACATCGTGGTGCATTTTCGTCCATATATCCTGGATACGCAGCATTATGTTCGAGATTGCTCAATTCTGGTGGTAAATCTTTGATAGATATGGCAAGAGGATGGGTTGAGGTAAAAAGACAAGTGACAAGAAGCGGTGTAACGTATTGCCATCTTCTTATAATACTCTTTTTGTAGGCCGATATAAAGACCATCCACAGCAACAAAGTGTCTATTACGCGTAGAAGTGGTGGGCTTCCTCTCTGTATTTTGGCAGTCGTGTCTAACGAACCATCCAACCATCGCGTAATTCTTCCATGGACAATAAAAACACTTTTAAGTATAGCAACGATGCCACATTATCCAACAAGTGATGAAGCGCTCGACCTTCCTCAGGTTCATGCATTCAACTCCCTGCGCACCATTTTTATGGATGCTAGACTGGCAACCGAAGTGCTAACGTTCGTAGCAGATGGAATAATGTTGAGTATCAGGGGATTCGCATCGCACAGTTGGGCAATACGTAATTGCTCCGTCATGTTATTCTCGACATTGGTTCAGAGAGTGTTTGGGACGAAAAAAGTAAAGGATGAACAACATTCTATCAATAAACTTACTGGCAGGGAGTTTTTCTCGAGATTTCCCAAGTTACACCCATTCCTAATGAATGAATTAAGAATAGCCGTTGAGCAATTGGTTAAAGTATGTGTATCATTACTAGTGAGGGAGGTTGGACATTGCTTCAAAGACGATGATAATTAATGTCAATTTTCTTTGCCCACAGGATGATAAGGAAACGAGTCAGATTCATCCCGGGTTATATCCAGTGTTGACACTTTTATCGAGGCTTTATCCGAGTTTGATGGAAAGCGCCCACTCGGTATTAAGTTTGTCAACATTTGTTCCACTTGTTATCGAGTGCTGCAAGTCTCGCATTCAAAAGGTACTCATTATTATGACTTGTCGTATCCGGACAGTAGTCGCAATTCGCCTACTTTATTATTCACGTTTGACATTCATCATTCTTTAGACACGAGAAATGGCTGCACGTGCCTTGACCCCACTCATATCATCTGATCATCTACTTCAGACATGTTCTGATATACTCTATGCGTGTAATCTGTCCAATCAGAACGCACTTCATGGACGGTTGGCTCAGATTCGGCAACTGTTTCGAGGTCATTTGAAAACCGGAGTAGCGTCTTATGAGACTGCAAAACGTAGGTAAATCGTACGTGATTGTATTGAATGCATGAAATACTAATTATTTATTTTGGGTATAGTATTTCTTACCGAGATTCCGCGCGTGTTTGTTGATAAACTCGATATTGCGACGCGCGTGAATGAGTGTGCCGTGACGAGACATTTGTTTCTGGAAATAATATACGAGTTTGTGTTTGATGATAGTTGGATTACCTTTGGGATTATCGAGCATCATAGAAAAGGTGATTAATAAAAAAGGGGGCATTGTAATTATAAGAGCACAAGAATTGCAAGTCTGCTTAACAATTACTGATTAGTGACGTTATATTTGTTGTAGAATATATTACGCTTATGAATGAAAAGTCTTCCAATCTCCGCAGCATAGTGTTCGATCTATGTCGATCAGAAATCTCTTCCGATAACGGCTCGTCTATTTCGTACCATTTAGTGAGAGAGACTATGGCGAAAATCATTGTCAACTACATTCTCTCTCACGAGACATTTACTAGAGATAATTGGAACACGATAGTCGAATTATTAGCAGATAAAGATTATGAAGTACGGGGATGCGTCCTGAGTCAGTTGATTCAAAAAATCAAGATGGTGAACCAGTAAGTTTCTATTTGATGACATTATCGTTCCAGTAAGCTTGCGTATCTAACATTGATCTCTGCCATAGGTTTAACTATACTATTTTACAAAAGAAACTGGTTAGAATGATTTGTGATGGAGAACCGTCTATGGATTGTCTTCAACGTGCAGTTGAGCTGCTTACTCTGCTAGACCCGGAACAACCCATTCCATCAGCCAGCTGCGAAAGTGATGTTGGAATACAAGATTTTTGGAGAACTATAGTAGAATCTTACATGGAGCGTATGAATAGCCTATTAGTGACAGAGTCAATGTTACCTCTGTTGGGTGCCGTTCTGTCTCAAACATGGATGCAAGAGTCATCAATGGAGGTGAAAAGCCAATACTTTACGAAATGGGTCGAATATGCAAACAAATACAGTCAAGCAGACATGGTGTGTAATTTTTAACTACAAGCGAGTCCCAAAGTTATGACCACAACCTTAATGTATGTTTACTAATAATATTTATGTGTTGATTAGAATTTGCGCTTGCGTGAATCAACAATGCAATCGCTCCATTTTTTTTCTCGATTTCTGTTTAAGGACAGGAAGACGTATGCTGAGAGAATCACTCCACATGTGATGATACTGTATGAAATAATTATTCGGTTGGTACAAGTACGTAAGATTGCGGATCGTCAATATGATAGTCGCGTCAAAAACTCAGTTGCCAAACTCTGTATTTAGGATGACGATATAAACATCAGGGAGAGTGCGGCAACGTTAATATCGAAATCGATGGAACTGAAGGTATATATTTTTGATGGTATTATGTTGTTACCTATTATTATTATTCATCCATATTGTTCGCTCAAAACTCCAAATTCCAAGGTTCCCGTAGATTACGAAAAAGCGCGCGAGATGTGTTATGAATATTTGACAAAGCAATATTCAAGGTCCCTATACTTTTACGCTTCATTCTTGAAAATACTCACTGCTGAACAGAAACCAGGTTTGCTAAATTTCTGTGGAGTTATAGTCATTTTGACACAAGGTTTTTGCTTAGTATTGATTTATGATATTATAGATAACATATTGGCAAATGCAATGAGCCCTCAGCGTACGTTATTTGCGGTCGAGAATCCAAACATCTTTAAAGAAGACTTAATTGATGTACAGCTATCATTCAGATGTCTTTGTGACGCAACGGCAGATGCTGACATGCTGCAAATCCCAGATGTAATTTGCAACGACATACCCCTATTTGCTATAGAGCAACTTAAAGGTGCTATAAGCATACTGAAGAATGCCGTAAGTAATGTCTGTTATCGAACATTAATTGTCAAGGATTTTGATAAATCCATTCATTATGTAATTAGAACAATCAGGGACCACTGGGACTGACTTCAAGATCAGACGTTTTCCTTGTGACTTATAGAACTATTCTCATGGTCATACTTGGGTTGCGTATGGCAAATAAAAAGAGAAATGAAATTGAGAGTGGTATGTATACAATTCATTGATCAATCTGTTGTAGCATGAATTCAATTCTAATGCATTTCTACTCTCATGGAACAGGATACAATAATATTATCGAACTTGTCCAGCAGAATACTCACATGTTACATCCTTTACTGTACGAGTTGCTGGTAAACAGTGTCTATAAAGACAAATATGGGAACGTGCCATTATTTCTTACGTCTAGCGTCACTCAGAGTAGCATTCAGACAGACACAAAAATTTAGATTATTCAATCTCACAACTGTACAATTTATTTATTAATGCAATAAAGTTGATATCGATTGGAAAACGATATTAGATGATGGAATACAATAATTACATAAATATTATTATAAGGAGAGCGGCATTTGGGTAATATATATATATACTATAAGCGTGTTGACAAACCGTCCAAATCCTGAGAATTAGCTCATTATGTACCAAGGATATTAAATAAATCATAATTCCACCTACAGATTACCAACAACCTGATGTGCGCACCCTGAGTGCTTTTTTTAGTAACGTCCCTGTTGTCGCACGATATGTTAATATTCTTCGTCTTCGTAAGGCCCTTCATCAATCACTTCCATTATTGAGTCCAATTCCGCTACTGCATCTACGCTTGCACGATGATTGCTCAGATATAGATCCTTTAGCGTACCTCCTAATTCCTCCCTAATCATACGTAATAACGTATCATTCACAATAGGTATGTTATGAAGATAGAGCACCTGCAGCTTCTTACATCTTCTTAGTATTTCTGAAAATGCTCCTTCACTAAAAAGAAAACATGATATGTCAAGACTGGTTATGTTAGGACAATAAAGACCGATTGCTGTAACAAGATCGGACGATTCCCTGGATGCCATGGCGCTGGAACCAATTTCCAACCTATGCAGTTGACGTCCGATTAACCTCAACATGTAGATTAATGCATCAGCTTCAATTGGAAGAATGTTGCGCTCAAACTCAGCCAAGTTTTTTGCATGGTCACCCAATGCTCTAATGCCAACAGACATGTCGAGCAATTGTTCTGTCCCTGATTCGTCGTCTTCGCCAACGTAATGACTATTAGCTCTATTTATGTGAACCCTGCGTAGAGTCAATTTAGATGTTTCTGCTATCGACGCAATTACGACAGCCGGAATATTTGTACCCGAGAAATCGACATTATGAAACTCACAATTGTTGGCGATTGGCATCATCAAAGTAGGCGTATTAGTTCTGAAATCTCTTGCATTTCTGATATACAACGATCTGAGTTGCTTGCATGCGCCTATTCCTTCGAACGGTTCAGAGCATGAACTCATTCTACAGGCAATTATCCTCAACTTTACCAGCGAAGCAGATTGGGATCCGATTGCCTCCAGGGTCAACTTTATATCATTGGCAAGCCTTATTTTCAGTTTTACCAGTTTTTTTTGTGAACTGATAAGATTGGCCAATGCCTCATCGCTGCATTTGGTTGCACGTATTTTAAATGTCTCGAGATGTTTACAATTATCAGCAAGAACTCTCAAATCTTCATCCGTACATTCGAAATAACCCAGATTTAGATATCTCAAATCGACATGACGAGCGCGAAGGGAAGTTGCCATAAACGTCAGCAGTCCAGGTATATGCGGATACGATGATGGCTCGGCTGATTCTTCGAATGTGCATTCTTTGATTTGCGCTTTTTGGACAAAGGCCTGGAACAAGTCATTAAACTTGCGGCACAAAAATTCTTGTGAATTATTCATGTTTGGAGTGTGCTGATTCCAGATTTGTACACATTTGTACAGGGCAGGTACGTGGAGGTTTTTTACCATTGATACATAATCCCAGAGAGGAATCTCAAACTCGTTAGTAGTTGCAAGGTAGGTGTCGGGGCGAGGACGTCTGGGTGGACGATCGACAGCAATCGACGTGGAATTATTTTCTTCGTAGTTTTGTAGACATTTGTTAAATGTATCTATTAATTGTTTAGCACGTACTGGCTGACTAACAAACTGATGCTGCCATCTTGTCCAAGGGTCTTTATACAGATGTTCCACGGCAAGAGTGCTCCACTGTTTTATAGTAGGATGGGAATTTTAAAGAATTGGTTACATACTGTTGCTACGATAATTGAATATAAATAATATAATCCATTTACTAAAGAGTAAAAACTGTTCATATATCTATATTTCATTTGCACACATACTTCCTTCTTTTTGGACACCTCACTCGAATATCTAATTCATTTTCATTTCACTTTTTATATTCATTCTTGCTGATTTAAACAACGCGAGTATGAGATCCCTTACTAACCTGCCTATTCAGCATTAGGAATTGACGTAACAAACACAAAGCATCATCTCTCTCAACAAACAGTGATAGCATATATCGACGTACGTCATTATTAAGACTATCCATAGTGATATCAAATTAAAGGAGTGGAACAACAACAAGAGTTGAAAACTGACGACAGGTGAAATTTTGGCCGAGTTACACACTCATCAAGATTCATAGCGTACATAGTAACGGTAACACTGACATTAAGACATGAGTGGATGATAGCGGACCGGAAGGGTCGGAAAGTTTTCTTTAATTGTCTCTAAAATTGTCACACAAAGTTTGTGCTAACGCCAACAGGCAACTCAAATACAGTGCGTTATTTTTTTGTGTCTTTATTAGTTTACTGTTTGCCTCCATTTGTAGCACAAATACAATAGCCATTTTAGCGTAAAAACATTGATGTGGAGAGAAAGTTCTGTTCTGTTCGAGTACTTACAACATAAAGGCAGGTGATACAACGAATATGTATGAGGGCTATCGATTCGATTAGATCGCAAATGCTATAATTAATAACACATCTTTTCGCGGGCAACAAATGAAACAAGTTTCGTTTGTATCCTATAAATCAAATTCAGATCATTAATCAAAGCTCTGCAATGAGAAAATGAGTTTGAATATTAGAGGTAGACAAAGAATTATCATATATAACCAGCGAGAAAGGAATGTCCGAGCTGGAAAAATACTTACAACATACGCGCGAAGAAGCCCAATAATTCATGTCTAGTATAAGCTCGATTAGCAATGTTTTGAGCTTTGATCGATTAACGATATGTAGTTAACATCGATAAATCGGGTTGATACTTGAAATGTTATCCGAAATCAATGACATTCGTTATAGTAACAAACAATTCACTTTTCATCACAGCTAGCTTTGCTTAGAAGATCAATTAAATTATTACTATTGCTTCGTCTATTTTAAATTGATGATATCTTGCGTTTAGGGGAGCTTGAAACCTTTCCTACAACCTGACTGCTATCTGCTGTAAGCAAATTATGAACATCATTCCAATTAACCTTTCCATACTCATGTTTAGTTACACTAATAAAATTTCTAATATTTGATATGAACAATGATTTAATGTTACGTTTAAAACATCAACCTTTCTCTCCATTTCCCGACTGCTATCTGTAATCTGATTGCTGACGGGATGGTGATAAACTTATTAATTCGCGCATTCCCATATAACGTTGTCCACTCATTAAAGTGGTAATTCGCAAGTTGTAACTATTAAAAATTATAATAATAAAACAGAGCACACAGATCAAAAGATAAAAAATCATTAGCATTTCTCCAAATACATTATTTGTATGAGCCCCCATTTATTGTTCAAAGGATTGTGGAGAAAGCTCTTCACATAATTTAACTGGTGTATAAATATTACAACTTGAAAGCGAAATGATTCGCTTTGTGTCGAACTAGATTATGCGACCAGCATAGAATGGCCACTAGTACGTTAAATACTGAAAAGTTGTTCAACTCTCCTATGGTAAAAGTCATTTCATTATGTTATTTATTACAACGATGCATAAGAACGGTACGTTCTTTACATAGTAAATGCGTGATTAACGGCGATCTCTTTTTCCAACCGTACTCTTGTTACTAAATAGATGTTTAGGCTTCTTCATTAATATCTTTCTGTCGGATTCGCCTGCTCTAGCATAAAGATTAGCTTGTCTTTGGGCAGTCTTGTGTATCTTTTCACTTCGTTTCTTCATCTAAACGCGTACAATGTAATCCAATATCTCGTCAGAACAAGAAATATATACCGGATAAAAAGAACAATAGAGATGTCAACTTACCTTTGCAATCTTTCTATCTTCTATATTGACAGGCGTTACACTTTTGGCAAGTGACTCTTCCCGTACTATAGCGTCCCCTATTGACTCGTCAAATTTACGCTTCCTTGATCTTGTCTGACTGCGTGCCCTGATTGCGCTTGCATCAATACCAAATTCTCCGAGTTTTTTCTCTATCTCTTCCAAAGACTAGCAAAATAGTAAACACAAAACAGTCGATTAATAGATATCGTATAACACTTATTAGATAAATAATAATTTCGTATAAACGCTCACTTTTGTTGTAGCCGTTCTCGGCATTACAGGACGATTTTTCATCATTTTGCTTGTTCTATGAGCTTGCACAATTAGCTTCTTCTTTTCGCGAGCCTCGTCAGCTGCTTTTTTAAACTCTTCCTCTTCGGAATCCATCTATTCAATTAATTGTAGTAAATTAGTAAATAATTATCACATTTATCGCTAAGCTAGATTCCTTGTTTACTAACAATTTCTTCATCCGATTCATAAAATCCTTCAGCCTCTAATTTGTCTTCTTCTCGCTCTAAGGCCTCCAACTTCTCCGCTATCTCGGGGTCAATGAAATCCGCGACGTTTTTGCCATCCATGATCTCAGGTATGGCGTCGTATTTCCATTCATCGGATTGAAGTATGTATAACTCTAATCAAGAAAAGTTAAATGTTGGGTTACTCATGTTCCATAGACAAATGCTGTGACACCATGAAACTTACTCTTGTGATCAACGTTATATACTCCTGGTCCACCGCTCTCTTCTTCAATATCTCTCTCGAGTTTGCGTCTCTTAGGATCTGTCTTATCATAAGGTCGTCGACCGATTACTGCTTCTGGTATGAATGGAAGACGAGGTATATCATCACGTTGCTGTGGTTCAGACAAATGTAATCTGTTGATTACATCGTTAATTTTCTGACTCTTCATTTTCACTTCAACTCGTGCGGCAAGTAACTTGTCACATGCCTATAAAAAGACCATATCAAAAAATAGTATCGTTATAACATCAGCTTAACATATATATATGCATCCTTATATTATATTATATTCGTGACAACATACCGTGTTTTTAACGTCAATAACCCCTTCATCAGTTTGGCAGCTCAATTGAAGTATCTGAACATTCTCTTTCTCGCTAATCTCACGTAATTTAACTTGTTCCTCTTCGGACAAATCCTCCGGACGAGTAACATCGATTTTGTTAATTACAATAAAGGTGGGTTTATTTGCAAAAAGAGGTTTAATGTTATGATACAATTGGATCTAAAGTTATGCACATGTTAGTAAAATGTTACATAGCTATAATCGCAAACATCTTCGCGTCATTTCTTAAATATTATCAACAAGATCCTTCTTACTTGGTCATCAACACTGTATCCACACTGCCCGGACAAATCCATGAAATACAAAACACAAGTTCTTAGATGAGCCAGTGCAGTGACTGACTGCATCTCGATCGTATTCATCTGTTCCAACGGCCGATCAAGAATACCTGGCGTATCTATCACCTGCCATCTCAGATACTTATAGTCCATATGTCCGACAAACAACGACTTGGTAGTGAATGCATAAGGTTGCACGTCGACGTTGGCCCTCGTAATTTTGTTCATAAAACTGGATTTTCCGACATTAGGATATCCACAAATGAGGAGAGTACGGGTATTTGGGTCGATTGAAGGAAGGCGAGCAAGATGTTGACGAACTTCCTCAAGATAACCCAAACTGTTCTTTTGTCGTTTCATTATTGTAGCCATTCTAATGAATAAAGTGGGTTAATTAATAAACCATCAATTATGTCTGGTAAACATAATTAAGTACTAATCATATTAATTCATTACGTCGACTAGCAACAATACTATAGAAATTATATTTTGGGTCACAAACCTTCCCAAAGCTGACTTCTTCAACTGCTTACACCTATACAATGAATCGCCAAATTTCAACAGCCTTACATATTCCTTTGCAACTTCCTCGATCAAACTTTTCGCTTTATTTATTTGTGACAACGCCAGTTTGTAATGATCCTTATCATATAATACGTTCATTAGATCTGCATAAAACGGGTGTATATCCTAACGTACGCATTATAAACGTTAGACGATTTGTTCCAGACGTTAAACCAAAGGCTTTTCCATTATTGTATCGAGTTGGTAAAACGGATACAAACGTCAATTTTAGGGAATTCTTCTAACATCGCTTTTAATTTGTCTTCAAAACTATCCTGAGTGAATTTCACTTTGCGCATGTAGAACTGACGTATACGGCCTATCTTGTAATGCTTGTGAATGACTGTTGGTGTCTTTCGTTGAGTTTTTGATAAGACAATGTCCAAAAAATCTGAAGCCGAAGGCACCGGCTGTATCTTTTTAAAATTATATAACGCCATTTAAATATGCTGTCGTCTGAGCTTCTATTACTGTTCTAAAGAATTGGGACGAGGAATGCACGGTGTTTCGGTTTTTTTTGAAAATAAAAAAATTTTTTTTGACGAATGATAATCAAATATGGATACAGTGAAAAATTTCCCAAAACAAGCCCCTTGGCGGATTCGAACCACCGATCTTCGCTTTACGAGAGCGACGCCTTACCACTGGGCCAAAGAGGCTTATGATTGCAAAAGTTTTCGCATTTAAATATTTAGAAACCATTCAATGCAGAATTATTACAACTTGAGAAAGAGATAAGTTCTTCACATACTGCGTAGCTGATATCACAGATCCATGATATCCCAACTGAACATTAGTAGCACAGTTCTTATACTAGTTATGTCTTGAAGGATACCATAGCAAACAAACAACTGCATGACAGATTTCTTGATATCCCATTTATATTAATGTTAAATTACACTCACCTGCCAAAATTATATCCGGAAATAATCTTGGCAGGTGAGTGTACAATCGAACGAAGGCATGTCGGCGGATAGTAGAGTAGGCCTCTAGAATTTCCTTGAAAGACGCGAATCTGTCGTGAAATATAGCATACAATGTCATTGCCGCTTTGACAAAGAACTGGTATATCGTAAGTAGTTGGGTAATCTCCAACTTGTGAGGTGTAATTGCATTAACGTTAATAATTTACATTTATTGCTCGTTCTAAGAATTTCAATTACCTCTTTCCTTTGTTGAATTTTCTTGTTTAAATGATAAGCACAGTTGTGTAACTACATACAACGTTCGATAAGAAAATAAAGTCTATAACCCACCTTCCTGTCGCTACAGGAATACAATCTCACTTCACCAAAGATGTCAACTAACTGACGGCCATATCATTAGCCAAATATTAACAGTACCTCGTAAACGTGAATCTCATTTCCATTTTACGTTCTCTTGGAAGAAGCGCATCGCTTCTAGAGGAACGAATGAAACTAAAGATTCTATAAAATAAAATAGCGATATTAACAGCCACCTCATCTATACGTTCAGCTCTGCGGGTTCTATCCTCTCTTGTAAAACATCACTTTTGTAGGAAATAACTAATTACACAAGTACATTCCCCTCCTCTAACAAATTGTGCACGCCAACTCACTTCCTCGTCACCTTTGTGAACTATCACCTATCACATTCAAATGTCATTTTCATGTAGTTGTTAAAATCCCAATTGTAACTCAGTAAAATTGACTGGTGTGCGGATTCTGTCCAGGATATGCTCTTCTCCCTCCAAACTGTGCTCCAAATTGCGGTGGGAAACCTCTAGAATTAGAAAATCCTCCCCTTCCCATTGGATCATTCATAAACATCTGGAAGAACATGGTGGGGTCCAAGTCTCCTCCAAAGTCAAAGTCCATCCCACCTGATCCGTCAATATCGAGCCCAGAGTCATAACGATTCTTCTTGGTAGGATCGCTTAGTACAGCATATGCTTCACCAAGCTCTTTGAATTTCATTTCTGCTTCCTCATCGCCGCAATTCTTATCTGGATGATGCTGTAGTGCCAGTTTTTTGTACGCTTTTTTTATCTCTGACTCGGATGCGTCCTTGGATACGCCAAGAATTTTGTAATAGTCTTTGCGTTTCGACCTCTTAAGTTCTTGTTCGGCTGTACGTAGCTCCGATTTTATCTGAGAGTTATCTCTTTCCAACTCTAATGCAGATTTGAGATCGCGTACCGCCTCCTCATACTTTTCAGTTTTCCTGTAACAATCCGCCCGGCGTCTTAATGCTCTTACAAACGACGGGTCAGCCTCGATTGCTTTGTCCAAGTCTGAAATTGCTTCTTGGAGCCTGTTTAACTTTATTAATGCTAGAGCTCGGTTACTGTATAGCTTTGAGTTGGCGAGCAAATTATCCGGATCAATCTCCAAGGCTGACGTGTATATACTGTATGCTGATGCATAATCGCACTTTTTTACAGCTTCGTTACCGCTATTTTTCTGCTTCTCTACTAACAAAACTTTCTATTGATTTAATAAAAAAGCATTTTAGTCGGAGATGAAACGACGCCAGTTGTACAAAGGATTGTCAAGTCGGACAGAAAATCACGACAACAGTGATAGGCGTAACACAAATCGACGTTATTACCTTGCGAAGTAGGCGTGCCTTTGAATGATCCGGGTCGCAACGTAATGCCTCCGCGCAATGGGCGCTTGCTTTTGTATACTCACCATCGATATACAAAACGTACGCCCTTAGTGCAAGGGCGTCCGAATTCCGACGGTCGGCCCGTAGTACTTCACTGAAAGGATACAAAAACGTAATAAGTATACTAATAAAAAAAATAGATATAAGTAAGTGCCAATCGCCAAACATACTTTACTATTGATTCGACTTCCGAAATGTTCTTTCTCATTTCTTCGACAGTGCAGTTTGGAGCCTCATTCAAAGCTAGAAATAATTCTGCCTTCATTATCTTTAATTTGACCGGCGATGATTCAAGTGAAGAAGCAGCTCTATCAATAGAATTGATTGCCAATTTGTATTGCTGATTCTGTCGATACACATTGGCTTGTTCGATGTAATAGTTGACTAGCTCTAGCTGCTTATGGTCATGGAGCAGTTGAGTATTCGTTGGATCAATGTTCAGCGCCGTTGCATACATGTGCTGTGCTTCGGATAAATTGCCAAGAAGGAAGTTGCATTTTCCCGCGCGCATTAAAGCCTTTAATAAATTTGGATCGAGCGCTAGCGCTTGTTTGCAATCCGCCAGAGCCTGTTCGGTCTGCTTCAGCATCATTCGAGCGGCTGCTCTATTGGAATAGTATGTTGGATTACTAACATCCATTTCTGCAAAAATTTAATTGACAATAAAAAATAAACAATTGAAAAGATTATTATCAATTGTCAAAGTAACTTTGTCGCAATGTATTCGTCAGAAATCCTTAGTTAATTTGATATTGTTTAAATCCAATCTTACCGATTGCCTGCGTATATAAACGCACGGCTTCCTGATAATGTCCAGCTTTGTATTCGTCATTGGCTGCGTTCTTGACAGATTCTGCTGCTGCTGGACTGTTTTATTAAATAACGATTTGATTAATAAAATCTACAACGTTTTGCCTATGATAAGAGATTGATGAGACACAGTTTAAACATGATACCGAGCAGACTAAACTGGATTTGATTGATATGAAATAAATAATCAAGTTTGTATGTCTTCATCATTCATAATATTCGTCATGGGATACAAGGATTAATTCGCCACATGAACAGTTAGCGTATTTTCTATCTTTTATGAAGTGCTTGTATGTATACTTATCATGTACACAGATATAGCTACCGTTTGTCTACGACTTTATACGTCCCGCTCAGCGCCCTCTCCTAACTAATGCACATAAAAGAATTAATCTGCTCACTTTTTGTCTATTTCCATCGGATTGGACATGATGTGAGCGGTGGCGGTCCACAACAAGTGGGGTTGAGGTATGTATAATATTGATGGGGGCGAGTAAAGTTTTTATCTGTCGTTTTTATTGTAGGGGCATTATTGTTCACAGCATACGCATGGCTGAAATGGAACTTACCAGAACCTTCAGTCAATTGTTCACGACTATTGGATGACGAGGAGACTTGTGTCATTATAAAATAGAATCTAATGGACTAAATGTGGCAGATTGTGCAACACACTATCACTAAAGTAGAAAGAGCCAATAACCGTTTTAACTTGTCTCTTTTCATAAACGGCACATTTAATAACAGTCGACAAGATTGGTAAGCTCTATTAGTAGATAACAAACCAACTTACCATTATGTGTGGGAATGGGAACGGAAGTAACGGTTACGGTGATCACCTGTTTGACGACGAGTATCGTCAAGATAACAATCGTACAAGTATAATGACACAAAAACCGTTACGATAATATCAAAGTCCTGTCTCCCCCTTTTTCCAGAATTTAGACATCCGTATTATAGTCTTGGTTGTTATTAGTTAGTAATTTTAATTAATTAACCAGGGTCTCCAGCTTCAATATCAACTCCGAAAACCACTACTGCGGTGATCATCGTTTTTATACTATTTCCCGACTAACTAGAGTATTGCGTGTTGACTAAAATATAAATGAAATTCGCGCAAAAATCCCATGCGAGAGACGGAAGAAGTAACACAGACGCTGATCCTCTGTCATAATATGGGGCGTAATATTGATCATGTGAATGATAATGCTTGCATTAGTGGCCATGGCGTTCTTATGAGAAGATATGACGGAGATTGTGTCTGTAGAAAGTATGAGGAAAAGACATCGTTCGAGCAGACAAATAGAACAGCTGGTGATTTCTATGTCTGATAGCGTTGCGTTGATTAATGTGTTCCTTTTTTTACCATCCAGAGAAATGCTAGCATAGTTATTCCTACTACTGAAATTAGCAATAGTAACCACGTGGGGAAATCTCAGTTTGACCTGTCTTCGCTAGGTGGCTGCGTCCCGTCCCTCCCCGCGACAATGGACCTATAGTGTCGATGCTTAATAATGAGTCACCGACTTGGCCAACTTATTGTACTATTCGGTTATTCAAAATCTATTCATAAGAACGAACACGCTTACTATTTATTCTTTTGAGAGGATAAATTGCCTTCTGATGGACGAAGCGAGCAAAAAGGTCGCGTGGAGATAAACTTCAAACAACTGTGCCACTTAGAATGGACCAATGTAATTTTTGTCAACTTGACGCGGGATAAATGCTATTGGCTTGCTAAACAAAAAAAGTGCGGCGAAGCATTTTTATTCGTTCCCGGCTCACTCTGGTTGGCTCAAATTCCAAGGAGAAAAGACTTTGATTCGCTGTCTTTAGCAAATGTTGCTATAACAACGTAAAAGAAATGAAAGCATTCATTCGACTTGTAGCCCTGTACAACGTACATCTAAAAATGAAACTTGGTCAACTTGTAACTCAGCAACCTTTTTTTGCACATGGAGGAATGGAAATTAGCAGCTTATGTCTCAAATTAACGTCATAAATATTTGAAATAAGAAAATGGTGACAGAATCGATGAACAAAGAAAAATAAATCATATACTCTCGTTATTATTCCATGCCCCCAACTGAATGAATTCAAAAAGCAGACATAAGCCATACCATAACATTCTTGTGTAAGATAATGCTTTTGTTAAACGTAAAATCCAATGGTAACTAAACATTTTGGCAAGAATGTCCTAGTGGAAATGCCATGTCGATAATGGTTTAAACAATGGATAATATAAATTATATTTGAACTTGAGCCACTTTGTTATATACAATCGTCTGTTTCATCTTAATCTGTTATCTCGAGTGCAGTCAATTTAACATTTGTACGAGCTGGAGCAGGTAGACCATACAAGTATACTATGTCATGTCCCCAATCCTCAATGAAATCCATTCCAATATGGTGAGTTGGCTTGTAATTGAGTCTTCTTAATAAACTCATCGAGTTGCTTATTGTTGCTAGTCCATCCAGATAACTGTTTACGACCGCAAATGCACCATACAGGAGCACTTCACACGCATTGCAAAATCCATATCGAGAATAACATCAGTAAAAGCGTGAGTGAGCAAACATGCATCATTTTCGCTAAATTCATGTACGAGTTCGTTGCGATTAAGCCAGTGGGAATATCTTCCGACCTGACTACTTTCTGGCAAACTTACCGATAAATGTTGCTGTACATTTGTCATCATTTCCAAGTAATAACAACATACTCTTATTATCAGACTTGGGTATAGCTGATTGTTTGGTCTGCAACATGTTGACTTGACTCTGGTAAACTCTGAATAAGGAATTCATTTAAATTAGCTTGTCCCGGAAGAGCGATACAATAGATTGCTGCGGCATTTATTAATACTTACGCTGCGTTTACGACCTTTCTACATCGAACTAGCAGGAATTACAATACGCTTTACTCATTATTCTGTTTTTATGCCATGTCATGTTTACATTGAATCGATGGTTATGTCTCCAAGATGGCTACAAAAATGTCAAGCGTCATCTAAGATGCCAACAATTGCACTAATTGTATGAAGAGTGTTTGCGAATAAAAACGCTATACATTTCCGCAATTTAAAGAAAAGGTAGTGCTTCCTTAACCGTGACGAATGTCAATATTTGGTTGGAAGGCTTGAAACTATGCAACCTTCTGCCTATTTTTTTTTTTTTGCAATTTGATATACGAACATTGCCTTTAGCACTATCTACTAAGCAAACATTAGAAATGCCAAACTTTTCGGTAAAGATTTAACTAGAGAATAGCATATATGCAACGTACACAAAGAGAGTTCGCATACTTGCCGCAGCATACAACGTCTCTGCGGATTCTAAGAGAAGAAGAAAACTATTTGGTGTAGATAACGTCGAGTATGTACGTTGGCTTGTACGATCAGTTCTCAAGTTTTGTCGAATAGAGTTTTCTCAAGTGCAGGGGATTTTTTAAATAAGTTTGATAATTAGAAAACATAAAGTCGAAAAAGTGAATCGACTAGACATATTCTGCAGATAAGAGAATGGAGATCGATATCTCATGAAGCTATTTTTTTACTAATAAAAATAAAATAAATAAAATTTTCGGATTTCAAATATGAATTGATATCGTTGATAAGCCGCGGGAACTGAAGAATTAAAAGCAAATAGTTGCTTTTTTGTATCACATGACATACTTGGTTTTTAACCATCTTGATCTATTTTGGAAATCTCCTGTAATATAACAATTGCTGAATTCATTCATCATGAGTACTAAACATGATGTCTATCTAACAATCGTGCGTGCATAAGATTTGGTCCTATCTGACATTACCAAATTGAGTTAGCGTTTGTAACATGATGCATAATCCTGCATGTTGCATACAAATTCTTTGTTTCGGAGATGTTACGGAGATGCGAAACACAAAAATATGTAGGCTTGCCGACCAAATACAGTTTTGTGACATAATCTTGATAAATATTGTCCATATTATTTTCGAATTTTAATCAGTTAGTCTATTAATTTATTCTTATCAACAAGGTTCATTATATTATTCCACGATTATCTTTTCTCCAATACGGAGAGACCGAAAGGTTCAATTGTTAATGTCATTAAAGGAGTAATCTAGTTCAACGGTCAAGTAACATCTACTTAATAATCCAAGTTGATGTTTCCAATTATAGACCAAACGTACTATTTATCCTTATGTCTGTAATAGCCAAGACTGCATAACTCATTACGTATAGCGTTGACATGCGTGTCTAGGTTCAAATAATATTATCGAACAATCTCTGCTGGAGACAATTAAAAAGCCAGCAGAGAGTAAATGCCTAACCATTTTAATATTAAATATAGGGTTGAAATTTCGTCGATTATTACACAAGATATAGTTGCATTTCTAGTTGACAGAATTAAGTAATAGGCATTACTTGAATTACTAAAATTGTCCTTGTGATTGTTAAGATAAGAAGTGAGTGACAATCATTAGCCAATAATATAGCGCTATATTATTAAAAGATAGGTTATCGATATTAACTATTCTTAAACATTTATCTCCGTATTGTGCAATTCTAATAATAAACTCAGGTATCAAAATTTATTATTAAATGTTTGTCTACTGAAGCAAACGTTTCGAACGAGAACGTCTGTGTTGCTTTTAATGACAATGTTTATAAAAGTAGAGTAGATTGACAGAATATATGGGAGTGAGTTTGTAGGAAAGAATTGAATCGTGTACCTTGTACTCCAAATTAATCTTTATCACTTTTACGATAAAGAATTTATTTGGAATAGTTTGTCAGTTAATATCATCAGTATGGGGAAAGTGTTCTTGTGCTTTGGTATATGAGACAATAGTAAATGTCAAAATTGCTACACGTATTTCCGTATTAATGTTTGAGGCGATTTAGTTTACTTGTTAATTATAACAAGTATTTGCATCACACGACATTCTAATATACTAAAATAGTATATATATCGACATGTTTATATGAATAGTGCAGGGCCGCGTTCCTGTTTCATGATGGTATTAAGTTTGTTAACAATCATTGTTCCGTGTCATCTTGACCAAAAATAAGCTATTTACGATTACGTGATCGCAAAAACTCTAGGCCAGCAACAATTGGCAATGTACTTACAGATGATCTGCAGAGTGCCACACACATATTAACTTATTGTCGACGAGGAGAAAGATTATAGGCATAAGCACGTTAAAAGATTGTTCTTTGTTGAGACCACGGTGATACGATATTGTTCAATTGCACGATATGACATCAAGCTAATTGTTTGAACATAGGAACAATAGCTATGCAAAAACGCTTCAGTGACGCCTGGCATTTTGCTTATAAATACAGCTTTTTCATCTGCTCTTCCCCCCATCGCCTAGCGAGCTGAACAACACATAAATTGTTCAAAGCACAAGTTCGAAATTCAAACGCTTCAACGAATTCAAACAAATTCAAACAAATTCAAACGTTCAAACAATTCAAACTATTCGAACAAATTTAAACAAATTCGAAACAAATCCAAACACCCAAAAATTACATATTCAAACAACAATTTAAACGTTCAAACAATTAACGAATTTAAACAAATCTCGAATACCTTCAAAATTTAACATGGATGAAAACAAGGCCCCGAACGATATTCTCGCCGCCATCATGGAAACCCTTCAGAAGGTCAAGAATTACGGTTCCAATCCACATGACGGTCCAGCTGGTAGTAACTGCTCGATTATGTAGGCTACTATTCTAAAACGATCAAATGGATAATTGAGAAACAGGGAATTTGCCATATTATATATATTGATTTTCGATGTTTCTGAGAAAAAAATGTATTTTTAACATTTATTATTATATTTAATTGTTCTAATTTAATATTCACTGTCTTTGTAACTAAAAACTTGAAAATTTTTGTTATAAATAAATATACGTATATTAATATTGAAGAAAACTATCTAATTAATTTCTCAATGAAATGGCCCGACAATATTCATTGTAGGCGAGTTAATAAGCACGTAAACGTCAATTGTCAGACTAATGACATTTTCCTCACCAAACTATTTTAACCAAAAATTTTTTTATAGAAAATTCAGAAACAGATGGTAAAATTGGTGACTTTACGTCCAAACAATTGGAATTAATAAACTACCGAAAAAATTACGTGTAGGACCAATAGTAATCAACATAAAGCGCCAACGAGTCTTGTGGCTTCGACTCGACATTGATTGTCTGCTTATAAATGAACGTGGAATCTCAATTTTGTAAGTTTTGCTATGTCCAATGTTTGTTTATCAAGACAATATACACATATTGTTTAACTATGCTAATAATTAAGCTATCATTTAAACGGAATATCGTCAAGTAGTTTCTTAAGAATTTATATTTCCGAATTTCAAGACACAGATTATCTATCCATTTTTAAAACACTACAGTAATTTACTGATTTGTGCTTTCTTGTCGTTTATTTGTTAGTTGTTGTAGCACAGTACTTTTCTAACAGTTTATCGACGTGACGTACATGATCTTCATGCTGTCAAATAATTTTATTAGTTGAACTACATCCAACATTTGACAGATTGGGAAAATATTTCAAGGTATATTTCTTACTCAAACATTGATTTGTTTTACATACAAGCTATAACTAAGAATATAGATTGCTTTATGTCTTAAGATTCAGCGTTGCATAATTCGGTAATACAAAATGAACGGTATGTCTTATGATAGTGAACAAATGTTATAAGCAATTATGAATTGCATGACGCAGAGCATTGCCAATAACTAACGATAGAGATACTTATCTTCGGTTTTGTCTAAAAAAGACGCCAAATCAAACGTTATGCATTGAATCAAAGGGGGTTGCCTAGCGACATCTAAACAAAACAAAAATTCACTGGATAATTTCACACGTTGTTGGAGATTAATCGATAATAATAACGCATTTGCATTGAGAGCGGAAGAAAAAGTTTACGCAATGTTTATACATCGTGGCAAGAAAAATAGTACAAATTGGTTGAAATACGACATGGCTATCGGTAATCAAAGGATCATCATTTATTTATTTATTATAAAAAGGTTTACATTTACGTGTATGAAGTTTCAGCAATTATAATTAGAGTTGTTATGTAACTGTTACAAAAACAATCGTGCTAATTTTTTTGGTACGTCTGTGGGTCTTTCGACTTTCCCACCAAATATCGAACCGACGACTGCACAGACCAAAATATCCCATCTCTTATTGGAGTTATTTGTCTGTCATTAAACTAGTACAACGTTTACCAATTTTATGAACACAAAAATCGATAATGTTACACAATACGTTGCATATCTCAGCGACAAGCAGAACACACCTTCTTGGACGGTTATTTCAAAATGGTTGACATAGTTAACGCAGTTGACTTGTCTTCAAGCCTTTCCTCCGACTTTGAAAAATTTTATGAAAGTGGCAAATATACAGACATTTCAATTAACGTCGGAAAAGAACCAAACAACAAGTTATTTCTTGCTCATACAATCGTCCTGTGCGCAAGAAGCACATTCTTCGAAAGCCAGTTAACCGATGTTACAAATACAGGGTCACCTAATGCTATCCAACAGGTTACCGTGGCGTTTGAGGATGTGACACCCGAATCTTTTGAAATTTTGCTTAGGTAATATGTCTTGAACTATTGATTGTGCCATATCAACAGACAGTTGTTTTAAAGAACATTACTTACTGGAACTATTTTATAGATTTATTTATACGGGAAGAGTGAACTATCGTTCAAATGAGGTTATAAATTGGATCGGTCTTTTGGAAGCCGCTTGCAGACTTCAATTAGATGACCTCGCTACCACCGTCGGAGACTATCTGATTAATCGACAGAAAGAATGGATAGAACGTAACGTTGTTGCAATCCATAAATGTGCTTCATCTTTACGCTTACTGTACAAGCTTTCGGATTATTGCCATCAACTCATGTTGTCAACACCAGAGATTATCTTTAAATCAGATGATTATCTCAATTTGCCAAAGGAGAACTTGATCACACTTCTCAAACGTGATGAGCTTAATATGAAAGAAATCGATATATGGACATCAGTAATAGAATGGACGACTAAGCAAGTTCCAGAACTTAAAAATGATCCAGACAGTTGGTCTTCTGACGAAGTTATTACCCTCAGAGCAATTATGTCTGATTTTGTTCCTCACATAAGATTTTTTAATATTCCATTGGAAGAGTATAATAAGAAAATTGTTCCATATGATGAATTGTTAACGAAAAAGTTGCGACATGATATACTTCATTATCATATCGAAAAAGGCTACAAACCAAATACTCCAATGCTGCCACACAGGAAAGGTCAAGTGAATGATGTTATGCCCAAATACAAAAGAGTGTATGTCAAGCCTGTTATCAGACCTGCTATCAAACATGTTATTGACTCTGTTGTTATCAATGAACAACAAGCAACTTGGTTATGTCAGAAAATTATGGCATCAACACAACTCCATGAAGCATATAAAAATGGGTCTGGAACTAACAGTAATAGTGGTTTTTGTAAATTAACTCTGCTTTATAGACATAGTAGGGATGGTAACACTATAAATTTTGGCAAGAAATATGGACGTAAAGAATCCACACTTATTGTTGGAAAAGTGTTGAATTCTGATGAAATACTAGGTGGATATAATCCAACATACTGGAATAGTCATAGTAATAGTAAGGAGATTAAATTGATTTCAACTACAGGATGTTTTATATTTTCATTGAATACAGAAAATCTGGAAAAAAGCATAGTAAGCTTTGTAACTGATTATGATAAAGCCATTTATGCAAATTTAAGACATCCTTGTTTTGGTAAAGGTCCTGATTTAGATTTTGCTTTTTGTTCACCATCATTTGGTCGTGCTAGAAAACAATCGTTTGAGATTGCAATAAGGCCTACTTCAAATGGTGGTTTTAAGTGGGCAGACTGGGAAGCTTTTTTGGTCACAAAAACTTGACTGTCTTGTTCAATTATTATATTCTAATTTTCAGTTATAGAAAAGTTGTTTAGCATGCAAGTTTCTGTAAAACATAATTATGTACTAACTAGTATGCTTTACTTTGTTGATTACGACTAACTGCATGTGTAACTTTTGGTATGTTCACGGATCATCACCGCCACGATTTAATATTATTTAAAAATATAAGTTATCTTGAAACATTTATCTTGTTAAGTTGTTTTCTTCATTTATAAATGTCGAGTCAACGGTCACGGGAGCTATTAACTCGGATAACGATTTAGCTGCGCCTTCGAAAGTACGAGATTAAACTTTAAATTTTAGCCCCTGACGATTTTAAATCGGATGCGTGCACATCAATCTTAGAATATTATTATTGGTTCGGCGGTTTATCGATTAAACATAACGCGTTGATAAAGAAATGTTAACTATCGCAAATGCCACCCAGTTAACCGCGGGACAAGAACTACGGTCAATCTAACCGCGTTATACGGATAAGCGCTTTACGGTTGATTCAGGAATTACGTAATTGCATACTCGCTATTGATAAAATAAAATATAATAATAAGGAAATCGATATGCTAAACACTGTGAACACACTGATGCTAAGTCTGCTTTTGTATCTTTCCCCGCTAATGTTAGCATCGCATCGCATCGCTTACCTTAACTAATTAACTATTGTTTTTCGTTAATATCTAATTTACCACAATAGCTTTTCCTTGGCTACAAGCCGCCGTCGACAGCTGATTGTCTCACCGGTTTTCATAGAAGTCTGAGTATTTGTATCACTGATAAGCGTTGTTGCACTTGTCATTTTAAACACCGCAATACTTTTTATTGTATTTTTATTCCATTTTGCATTAGATAAAAGCTGGATTAATTTCATGTTATATCTGAACATAATTCTCTAATATTAAGCATTGATACTTGGATTGACTCATGATGTGTTCCGCAGTTTATTATCTCTTGATATTAGTATGACATTAATATAAATATAGAGAAACTCTGCCGGTAATAAATTTCTTTAGCTGTCAAAAGTGAACAAATCTAATTCGTGCGATGTCACGCTTACTCCATGATTATGCTGTATTTTTGATATGGTCTTGTATATCCTATGCCATGTACAGTATACCAGTTGAACTTTTTCGATATCAAGCCCGGTCTTTTATTTTTCTTAAAATTATGTATTCCCGTTGGGAAACTAATCATCAGTAAATTTAAGCTTCCCAATTGCCCTTCTTGTGTTCTTGGTAATAAGCTAATATATTACATCTATTGAATACAATAAGTTTATCATTATTATTGCTCGTCAGATGATCATTTAAACACCACGGCATATTAATATTCATATGGGGCAGACTGCAACAAAACCAGACAAAGTGAACATTCTATAAATGAGAGGCTGATTATGATGTGGCTGTAAAATTGACCAGTGTGACTGACGATGCGATAATCTATATATAATTTAAAAAAACTGGATGCTGCAAGCTGGACGGACATTGCATATTCGTGTTACAAAATTATCCAATAGATGGCCATCACATGTTCGTCATTTCTTTGTTTACGAACCGCGACGCCTAACACTTTTATTATTATGATTATGGATAATAACGTTAGGAAATAAAAGTATAAATGTAAAATATAAAATAACCACACTGTCAACGAAGTGACAGGTTATACACTAGTATTTTGAAAAATTTTTGCACGCGCCTTCTTCCAAACACGATTCAGATTGACTACAGAGCTCACACATTTCTCGATAACCGCAAACATGACAAAGGTTAGCGTATTATCTCTATAATTTTTCATGGGCAATGAGACCAGGCGTTCCCCGCCATGTCATACCGGTGAGGTACGGCCCCCGGCCTTGTTTACCATTACAGGTTTTGGGCCTTCGGAAAGGTGATGCGGTGGGCGTCTAATGATCGCCTGGCATCCGGCTTGACTATCCGTTAAAAGATTTCTGATCTCAGTAGATTAAAAGATTAATTTTCGTAGCTGTACAACCCATATTAACAACTCTTTTTTTTCTATTGCGGCAAAAGATGGCGCGAAAGGCCAAGAAACTTCTTTCCTAAAAACTATAATCAACTCTTTTGATCCGGACAAAAAGTTTGAAAACAAATTCGAAACGAGAAAGGATGCTGAAACCCACCTTTTTCGTTTAATTTATTAGCCTCTTTGTTTAGATCATTTATTTTTTTTTAATTTGATTTGAAAGGATTGTAATTTCTCTCAAGAACTTTCTTCTACCCAAAAATGGAGTACTGGAATTTACCTTTACCCAAAAAGAGGATGATAACAAGGTAATTGCCGATAACGGTTTTGGATACCATTTCATGCCTTTGTCAAGACAACGAATGCTCGGAACAGGCAAAAAGATTGATGGGTAGATTTGATTCATTAATAAAAGCTAAAGCCTGTCAAAGTTACTGGAACAACAATGCAGCTAAGACGGCACTCCAACGGACAAAGCAAAGAGCTGCTGTTCATATGGCCAATATCGAATACAACGTGTATGAGGAACACGATGCCATAAGTGGTGTAATCACGAGTCGCCTCGTATCTGCAAATGAAGGAGTCTCTGTTGATGAAAGGGTAAACGAGCAGCATGACAAAGATCAAACTGGGAGTGGTATGTATGTTGTGAATGAATAACTTGCGTTGCAGGTTCGCTGTATACTGACCTTTTTTTTTAAATGAATAACAGATTTTGGGGATGATTTGCATAACATGACGGAATTCGTCGAAAATTATTGATACCTGAGAATTTGTTGCGAAGCGTTCAAATAAATCCCCTTATCACATTGCTTAGAAGGAAACATATTTTGATCCAATATGTACTAATGAGTTTGGGTATGGATAAATCGAAAGATTTCATTCGCGTAGAACATTTCGATGATTAGGACAGTATAACCCAACGGACATCCATTCTTTTCCCCCAGAACCGCCTTTGACCGAAGTGCACATTCACTTGGTCTGATTTTGTTGCAGCACGCCCCATATCTTAATGGCGTATTTATCGACCATTTAAATTTTACACTAACCCAAAACGTCATTAACTGCGGTTTTCAGACTCCTGCATTTCTAGTCTCTTTTGTAAAATGTTTAAAGGGGGCCCATGTGTCGACGTGTGTGACTACACACAAAGCGTACTGTATCACACACTCCATCTTCATCTCTACATAAGCGCCGCCTGCTTCATCTAATTGAATGATCCATTTCAACTGCCAAAAAACGTCCTCTGGTTTTCTCCGTTTCGATATTAATATACGCATATATTGCAGAAAGTTTAGCCGGATACGAATAAAATGAGGAAATTGGCATTGTTCTTGATTATTTTGAATTTATTAACAGCCTTGGCAGTGCCTCCTCACTTCAATGACGAAGATATCATTCTTGCACCTCTGTTCTCTTCTGCTGATGCAGAAGTAATTCCTGACCAATATATTGTGGCGTTCAAGGATGATGTGACCGCGGATAGAATATCTTATCATCACGATTGTGTCAGTAATATGATGTCTGAAGAGAGAAAGAAAGTTAAACGAGGATTTATGGCCGAATTGATATCTGGGATTAAACACACGTACGACTCTGACGTCTTTAAAGGGTACTCTGGTAGATTCTCGGAAGAAATGTTGAATAAGATTAGGCAAAGTGACGAGGTATGTATGCATTTTAGGGTTAATTTCCCATTGATGATCTTAACTATAAATATCAGGAATGTTAAAACGATATTATTTTCCTAAAATCCAAGGTTGCTTATGTCGAGAAAGATTCTAAAGTCTATTCGGAAGTAGTCCAATATAACGCACCTTGGGGCTTAGCCCGCATATCCCATCGAGATCCGTTAGGTTTCATCACATTTAGCAGATACTTATACGATGCAACAGCTGGCTCGGATGTCACTGTCTACGTGGTCGACACCGGAATCAACATCGACCATGTCGAGTTCGGCTCTCGTGCTCGATGGGGTGTCACTGTTCCAGATGATGACGAAGATGTCGACAATAACGGACACGGAACCCACGTTGCCGGTACTGCTGTTGGAACTCGATTCGGTGTTGCTAAAAAGGCTAACGTCGTTGCTGTCAAAGTTTTGAATTCGGATGGGAGTGGTACAACGAGTGATGTGATCAAGGGAGTGGAATATGTTGTGAGATCTCACCTGGACGAAATGCGCCGTGCAAGGCAAGATGGAAGACCGTTTAAGGGATCAGTTGCAAATTTAAGTTTGGGAGGGTCCAAAAGTAGAACTTTGGATACGGCCATCAACGCTGTAAGTGTTTATAAATCGTTATGCGCACAAATGGAAAGAACTTGCATCCTAATTTCAGAATTACGCCAACGTACTATTATCAGGCTGTCACTCTTGGAGTTCATTTTGTCGTAGCCGCGGGTAATAGTGACAGTGACGCTTGTAATGAGTCGCCCGCTGCGGCTGAGAAAGCAATCACTGTTGGGGCTTCAACGTTTGACGATGTGCGCGCATCCTTTTCCAATTATGGCCCGTGTGTCGATATTTTTGCTCCGGTATGAACAACCTCCCTATTAGTGATATGGATTGCTATTGTGACGTTCTTCTAGTATTTCGTTGTTTCTTTAATCTATCATAATTTTTTATCCTGTCCATATATAGGGCAAAGACATCTTGTCAGCTTGGATAGGTTCCTATACTTCCGCGAGGATACTTTCCGGTACTTCCATGGCAGCTCCCCATATTACAGGTCTCGTGGCTTACTTCCTCGGCTTGGATGCTGAGTCTACTTCAGACTTTGCTGTTACTCGACTGACTTCCAAGAAGATGCGTGACATGATTGTTTCTCTCGCTACGCGCGACATTCTGGATGACGTCCCAGCGGACACTCCCAACCTCTTGGCGTTTAATAATTTTGATCCTACCTCTTAATAAGTAAGAACTTTGCATACTTTTTTCGTGAATCTTTCCGCGGAGATAACTGAAAGTAGTGTTTGTCCATTTTATAAATATGCGTGAGTTGATCATTATGATCAAACCTCAGTAGTTTTATTATTGTTTGTGACCATGATAGCATTCTTTCCCAATGAGTAGATTAAATTGTTGGACGTTACGATCCTTTGCCTATGACCTTTCAGAATTAGGAATTTCCAGGCATGTCATATACAATACATTTAAAAATGGAGGCCTGATCTAACGGTGGACTCCCGCCACTACAGCCAAATGGGGATAGCCATACTCCTTGAGGCGTTCTATAGACAATTATTGTAGGGAGAAATGAGACGAGTTATAGTTACCTAATACTGGTCCCCAATCCTCTTTGCCACCCTCTCGGCGCAAGAATTAATGGGGCATGTGTTTTTAACAGTCCAAGTATTTTTCAATCGGTAAACATTTATTCGATATATAAGCCATCGCGAAAACTATGTAATACTGCATTGCATTGTAGTCAAATTTGACAATTTGGTAGGTCTTTTGTAAATTCAGTCAGACATGCGCCTCTCAACAGGAAATTAATGTTACTATTAGTTGGCATTTCATGAGATTCGGTTTAAAGACAATGCATTATACAGGCATTACTATCTTTAGTAATAATCGGTCTATCAATCGTCGTTTAATTTAATAATAGATGATAATGGCCAATGCCGAACTTGCTGATTTCGTTGACAATATCGCTATTTTGCACTGTGGTGCAAAACCCTGCCGATGCCATGTTCGGATACGGACAAGGAATTCGACGTACCAATCACGTCATAATTCGGATTTTGCAATCTTTCTATTAAGAATATCATTGCATACGGTCGCCATCCAATCCAAAACCTCATTACACAAATAAAGGAAATTATAAATACTCCCCATTGTAAAAAGATATCAGTAAAAAACGAAAATCCTTCCGCAAACTAATTTACATTCTTTTCAACATTTTTATAGATTTCCATTCATTTATCCATTCTTTATATGTCAATTCTTCCACAAACCTCGTTTTACCTTCATAAATTTGTTTTTTATCTTTGACTATCTTTACGTTATTATCCGCATCGATTGCTTTGCATAAATGACACTTATACTGTCAGTGAGTGGGCCTGATGGCGATAATGGGCGGGATGGACGTAGTGCGGCATTCTCTGGTGGAGGAAAGAACGGAAGAAATGGAGAGAATGCCACAAATCCGACTGCTGGGACTGATGGCGGAGGTATTCACAATTCTTTTCAATTAAAATGTTGTTGATGTTGCGAGAATCAATACTAATTATTATCTTTTTAACAGAAATCGATCTAACTCTCGTCGAAAGGTTTGATGGCTAATTTGCATTATATGTGTTATCTTTTCCGTTGGTTTGGCTTACGTTTTTTATATAACATCACGAATAGAGACGATGTAAACGGCGCCTTAGCTGAAATATCAGGTTACTTCCAGAGGCCAGGTTATCAGGTTGACAATTTTGAACAAACGTATATTTGTGCTACAGATGATTTGTTTATTTTGGAAGGTACGAATTGCATCACGGAAATTAAATTTTATCTGTAAACGAATTAAAATTCTTCCCGAACTCTGGGGTGATATAATCTAATTGCATTTCTTTAACCAAATCAAATATTAGCTCGCGGAGGAAATGGTGGGAACGGTGGCAACGGAGGAAACGGAGGTAATTATTATTGATCATCCCAACGAATCAAGCTCTACATTCATAAACTAAATCTTTTTTGTTTCTATACTATCAGGGGATGGCTCTCCTGGTAAAGATGGAAAAAATGCAACTTCGTATGTCTCTTTCTTTTTTGATTTAGCACGTAAATCTGGCTATTGGAACAATAATTTAATTCAATGTCAATGGTAAAGGTTTTCTTCGG